ACGAACCGTGCTGTGAGGTCTCTGGCGGTGTTGGCGATTTCGCTCGTGCTGTCACCGCACCGGTCTGGGACGCCTAAGTGTCAGGAGGGAAAAAACACACAGACACAATGAATCGTCGATTCCCCAGAAATTATTTGAAGATATGGGAAGTGGGGGGGACGACAATAACCCATAACATGTGGGAAAATATGGGGAATCCTGTCATTTGTGCGTATCTATTCGTGTGTCCCAGGGCCCCTTCAAAGTGTTTGGGGAGCAAGTCAGGGCTGCCCCCGGCACCTGGGGCAGGAGGTCAGAGGAGTCAGAGATGCGGGATCCGCTGAGCGTCCTGGCGAGGCCCCCTCGTCGCCACGGCTGGATCCGCCTCAAAATCTGGGCCAGCAGGCGCCTTGGCAGAGGTCCGGGGAGTGGCTGTATCGGTACCGTCTCGTCCTCCCGCACACGTTGGGTGGGAGGAGCTGGGGAAGGTATCAGTCCTCTACCGAGCATGCTGCGACCGCGCCTGCGGCTGGCAGGCCCTATCTGCTTTCGCCCCTTCCCACGAAGACGGGCACCAAAAGAAATCGTCAGGACAGTGGAAAACATGATGCGCCTCCTGGCGCTAAAGCGGCCAAGCCCAAGGGGCAGGGGCGATAATGGCAGAGACGGGGGCAAAGGGGGATGGAAGTCCTAGAAGTGCGGTTGTCGTTGGGAGAGTGATGAAAGTAAGACTTGCGAGCAGGACGAGAGAAACCGTACAGTAGAGATACTTAGAACGGCAGTGCTGGTGATGGCGACTGGACTTCGAGTGGATACAATGAGAACCATAAAATTGGCCGTGAAAGCAGTTGTGACCGAAGCTCGGGGAGCGGTTGGCGCGAAGATGCATGGGACGACCAATCTGGAAAACGGAAGGACCAGCGTGACAAGTCTTTATGGAATTGCGACTCCGAGAAGCAATTCGACAGGGAGACAGGAATGACAGCGGCTGGAGTAGTATGTGATCGAGGTCGTCGCGGGCCGCGAGCACACTTGAGCGATCCGCGCTGGGGTGCCCCGCGGACCTGTCGTAGAGCTTTGGGGTCCGCTGGGCACCCGTGTCTTCGCCTCTGCAGCGGGAGCAGGCATCACGCCGATGGCGCACGCTGTGAGACTGCCTTTGGCGCTGGCGCCCTTGGGCGCGGCGTGCCGGAGGCCGGCACGCGAGGGCTCGGCTGCCCCTGTACCCGACACGGGCGGGGTCGATCACATCTCCCTGGCATCGCTCGGACGTGAGCATTTTTTTCGGCGAGAACCATCGAGGACCATCGTCGACCAACGAGCAGAAACAGAAACACGCACGAAACCGAAAAATGCACGGGAAACGGCCGTCCGAGCGACGGCGAGTCTCGGGGGCGGCAAAGATGGGGGTGATGACTAGGTGGGGGTGGATATCATGGCGGGGGGCATGGTATTTCCCCAGGTTTCATGGCGCCTCTTCTTATTTCATTACGTCCCCGGCCCCCCCCGCTGGGACGCGCACGTGCCGCCGGTCATGATTTGCACCCCCCCCTCTTGGACACCTCTTGGCAGCTCCCGAACATTTTTGTTCCTGCTTGCGCCATGTTTTCACCCATCTGGCTGCCGCTGCCGGCATTTGGCTCGGAGGCGTTACCGAATGCGGGACGCGCGGTGCGACCCAGCCGTCGGAGAAAAGGAGGCGCCTGTTCCTTTCGCATCCCTGCAGAGCCGTCGATCAACACGCAGAGAGACATATCATGCACAGGGTCTTTTCGAAAGTACCGTGGGCGAGGAAAGACATGCAGAAGATACATCACACCGGTTGTTTGATATTGCGGGCAATGTGGAACATTTGACCAAGCCCATTCTCTACGAGACAAAAGCAACCACGTAAGCGTAAATTGTGGCACCTCCGTGGGAATTTGTTGGATCGACGCGAGTTCCCCCTGGCGGCGCCTCCGACGCCGTCCTTGGCGCATTCCGCAGTCTAGGGAGGGGGGTCTAGCGCCGATTCGAAAATCCCGCGCGGACCCCCAACAGCTTACGTGTACGCTGTTTTCTTTGTCTGCCCTACCATCATCGTCCTGTGACAATCAGTCTCGGGCGCTCACTCAGCAGCCCGGCCCGGTTCGATTCCTTCCCCGAGGGCGTTTGCGGAACGGCCTCGCGCCCATGGGGTGTTCATCATGGGTTCGCAAAACACACGCGAGAGGCTTGTGGAACAAACGCACACTCACCATGGAAGAAACGCACAACACACAGACACACATATACACAATCTAAGGAACAAAAAGCACACGCGGTGGACAACGAAAGCAACGTTTGTGCCCACAGTTTGTGTGTGTGTATGTGTGCTTGTGTTGTTTTGTTTCGTGTGTTTTCTGTGGTTTGTGCGTTTTGCGTGTTGTGCGTGTGCGCCTGTCTGTTTATATGTCTATCTGTCTGCGCGTGTGTGTGTGAGTGTGTGTGTGTGTGTCCGTGTGTGCGTGCGTGCGTCCGTCCATGCGCTCGTGCGTGCGTGGGTGCGTGTGTGTGCGCGCGCGTGCGTTTCACAATGTGTGTGTGGGTGTGTGTGTGTGTGTGTGTGTGTGTGTGTGGAAATTTTGGTGTGAGTGTGTTTGAGTTGCGTTGTTTATGTGTGTGTGTGTTATGTTTTGCTTCTCTGCCCTTTATCAGAAAAAATGCCCCCCTTCCACCCCGTGTGGTCTTCCCACCTTTCTCCCACCCAGCTGCAGGAGGAGCGGAAGAGGACGATGAGCAGGAGGAGATCAGGCCCACCTCGTGGGAGGATGAGAAGGAGGAGAAGGAGGAGGAAGAGAAGGAGGATGAGGAAGAGCATGAGGAGGAGGGGGAGGGGGACGAGGTGGAGGACGAGGAGGAGGAGGACGACGACGAGGACGAGGAGGAGGAGGAGGAGGATGAGGAGAAAGAGGAAATATTTGAGTAGGAGGACCGGAAGAGGAGGACTCAATCGAAAGAGGGTCAAAAGAGGACCGAAGGAGGATCGAAGGGTGATCGCATGAGGAGGAGGATCGAAGGAGGGGGGTTGAACGGTAAGAAAAGGGGCTCCGCGCCAGCAGCCAGGATCGAGGGACGAGGTTCAAGGAGGGGGATAGGGGAGGATGAGCGAGGATCGAGGACATGGGAGCGAGCAGGACCGGAGAGGAGGAGCCGGAGCAGGAGGAAGAGGATGACAAGGAGGAGGGGGACGAGGATAAGGAGGAGGAGGAGGAGGAGGAGGAGGAGGAGGAGCAGGACGAGGAAGAGGAAACGGAGGCAGAAGCGGAGGTGGACGCGGAGGAGGTGGACGAGGAGGAGGCGGGGTAGAAGGGGGGGGAGGACCGAAGAGGAGGAGGAGGAGGAGGAAGAGCAGGAGGAGGACCGAGGAGAATGAGGAGGAGGAGGAAGAGAAGGAGGATGAGGAGGAGGAGGAGGAGAAGGAGGAGGAGGAGAAGGACAAGGAGGAGGAGAGCGCGCCCGTGGCGCTAAAGGGGCCGCGGCGGTCGCCCTTCGCTCTCCGCGGCCAGGCGGCGCTCGGCGCGGCGTCCGCGAAGAGCGCCGCGCCCGCTGGACCCGCTCCGGCGCCCGCGGCCGCCGCGGCGGCGGCAGGAGTTCGGTGGCGACGGCGTGTAGTCCTCCAGGCCTCCTCTTCCTCCTCCTCAAGCCCCCCCCTCCCCCTTCCTCCCTCTCCATCTTGTCCGTCCCCTCCTCCTCTTTCCTCCCGCCCTCCTCCCTTAGCCTTCTTCCATCCACAGTATCCATCCCCCTCCCCATCCTTCCTCCTCCTCCCCCCCGTCCTCCTTCCGTCCTCGTTCTCCGCCCTCCGACCCCTTCTCCCAGATGTAATCTGGACACTGAGTAGGCAACGGGAACCAGTTCGCGGTAGGGCCCCGAAGCCCCCCAAATGGGCTGGGATGGAGTCACTGGACCAGGTTTGCCGTAGTCGGTGTCCTTCGGGCGTTGACAGATCCGGTTCGTGGAATGGGGCGGAGGGGAGTCCCCTTGTACGCATCAGTAAACCAGGTCCCATTCAACCCAGTCCTGCCAGCGCCGAGTACTCCTGTGGTGTCGGTCGGCCAGTGTCTGAATTGAGGAGTGTGAGCAGCAGAATTATTTTGATGATTTTCGCCAGGGTCGAAGCTATCACACCCAAAATCCCATCCCTGCTGCCGAGCTGGTTCACAGTTGTGGATTTCATGGGCTCCGTTCTAGAATCGAGGTCCCAGCCTGTCGAGCTTTCGGGCGTTTTCGCGAGTTCTCAGCGGTTTTCCAGCTTCGGAAAGCGCCTTCCAGCGGCTGCGCCTCGGCGACTGCGTTCCGGCGGGTGCCCAGATCTTCCCGAACGGCCGCTGGGGGCCCGAGTCATGGCCCGAGCACCAGGGAGCGGGAGATGAGAGGCGCCTACGGGCGGGGGGGATATGCTCAGGGGGGGGGGGGGCCTCGTTCCCCGACAGCTTTTTTATCGACGACGAGAGGCCTGGCACCCCGCCCCGCGCAGGAGCTGCGGGCGGAGTCGCCATCGGGAGCGCATCGCCGAGCTGTCGGCGGCGCATCGTCGAGTAAAAGCTCATTGTTTCCCCCTTTTGAGGCGTTTCCCCCCGCCTCTCTTCCTCCAGGGCGGGGGGCCTGGAAGAAATTATATATGGCGAGTTCACGAACGTGCTGCCTCATGAACATGACTGCACGCTGCCTGTGCTGTCCTCTTGTCCTCTGCTTCTCCTCCCATCTTTTCTTGGAGCGGTTCCGGATCCGGGGGCCGCTTGTCCCACCCCCTTCCTCTGATTATGCTTGCCCCCGTGGGGACTGCGGTGGCACTCCACCTGATAAGGTGCCGCTTGCACATCTCTTGCGTCACTGTCGCCTGATGCAGTGCAGAGAAAGGGCACGATAATGGCAGATACTTTCTCTTACCCCGATTTTGGGGACACGGCTTCGAAGAGATCAGGCCCCGCCGGCACAAGTGGGACTTGCCGCAACAGCGTCTGGGGAGCTTTTTTGGGCCAGCGCCATTCAGCGCAGCAATGCGGCAGCAGACCGGCCCCCAAGTCCAATGTGGCCCCGCTGCGTTGCTGGAGGAGTAGTAGATGAGATGGGAGCTGGGAGCACGAGGGACTGGAGAGGCAAGCAGCCGTAGCTTGCTGGCTCATCGAAGCCTAGCATGAGCAGGACAACGGCATGATTCCTCCGCTTCCAGCACAAAAAAATCTTAGAGGGTATTTGTTCCGAGGCCTGTGCGGGTTCTTGTGGATCCGCGATGCGCCCTTCAGCACGCAAGCGGAGTGCCAGGAGCGGCGCTGGCGCACCATGAAGCATATTTCGAGTAGAGGATCGATTACAAACTTGACTTACCCCACAATCGGTTTTCTCGCCGAATGTACGAGCAAATACGTATGATGTTCGTACGTATACGAGCATTATACTTATTCTTCGGGAAGCGACGAATAAATCACTTTTGGGGTAAATCATGTCTGTAGTCGATCTCCTGCTCGAGTACTTGCTCTGTGGTCTGCCGCCGCGTGTGGGATCTCGGGGCCCTCCCTCGAAATCGGTGGGCGAGTAGGAGGAGGAGGGTCGAGGAGGAGGGGGGATCTAGGATCGAGGCGCTCGTGGGTTTGGGCTCTTTTCCCCCGTCACCCTCTGCCCGTCCTCCACCGATACATCTTGCGATATGGTCCTCTCAATCCAATCCGCGGCCCCGAAGGTCCGACCCTTTCCCCGTGGTAGGTTTCCGTCCGGCACTCATTTTTGATTGCCCGAGGGACCAGCAACGAGCCCCAGAGGCCGAAATCTATGAAAAGCGTCCAGGTTGAAAACGTCATAGCGTCGGAGATTCGGGCCCATTCCTCCTCACCCGCCTTCCAATTGTTCACCCCTCCTTGCCCTTCGAACGCGGGCGCCTTCTGAGGAGGGAAGTTGGAGGAGAGAGGAGGGCAGTAGGAGCATTTTTCCTTATTGCTTGGGGCATGACGGGCGTCATGGCCCCCGCCGCACCCCCCCCCTATGACGTAACGCCCCCCCCCCAAGTGCGCTCCGGGCACGGCCGCCGTGCGCATCGGGATCCGCATAGGTGTCCGCATAGAAACCCGCATAGGAGTCTTGTCCGCAGTCGTCGTCGTCGTCGTCGTCGTCGTCGTCGTCGTCGTCGTCGTCGTCGTCGTCGTCGTCGTCGTCGTCGTCGTCGTCGTCGTCCTCCCTCTTCCGAAGGAGAAGGAGGAGGAGGAGGAGGAGGCGGAGGCGGAGGCGGAGGATGAGGAGGAGGAGGCGGAGGAGGCCCAGGAGGAGGAGGAGGAGGAGGAGGAGGAGGACCAGAGGCGGAGAAGGAGGAAGAGGAGGAGGAGGAGGAGGAAATGGAGGTTCGCCCTCTCCGTTTTGGGGCGCGGGAGTCCCAGAGGAGCTCCACCAGAGCCGCCCGGTCCGGACCTCGCGCGCGCCTTCGCCGTGCAGAACGGGCTGCCCACGCTGGCCGAGGCAGGCCCCTCGTCGACGTCGTCGACCCCTCGTCGACGCCGCCGTCTCGGTCGTCTTCCTCTCCGTCCTCGGGAGGGTCGGGTGTTTTTTTTTGTTGACGACCTGAGCTAAGCCACCGCGCCAGGGAAGAGGAGGAGGAGGAGGAGGATGAAGAGGAGGAGGAGGAGGAGTCCAGGAGGAGGAGGAGGAGGAGGAGGAGGAAAAGGAGGACGAAGAGGAGGAGGAGGAGGAGGAGGAGGAGGAGGAGGCGGAGGAGGAGGAGGAGGAGGAGGAGGAGGAGGAGGGGAGAAGGAAGAGGAGGAGGAGGAGGATCAGTGTAGACTCAAGAGGCATCAACGATGTTTGAATACAGCCTCCCTCCACGCGCCCTCTTCTTAGGGCCCTACATCGGTTCATGTCATTGAGGGAACTCCCTCGTTGGAAGACAACTGCTTGAAGACCCTGAAGCATGCCAAAACATTGGTATCTGGATTCCAACGCCACGGATGAACCCGACTGTTGTGTCTTGACGATCCTGAATCGTTCCAGAACGCCATTCCTGGCGCTTGGACGCCGCGAGTCAACATAACTGGTGCACCCTTTTCAACACGCAAGTTCTGGTACGTTGATCATGGGAATCCGTGAAGCGGTCGCAATGTTTTAAGACGAGTGTGCACGGCGCTCAGACAAGAGCCACATTTTGAAAAGGAGCCGCCCTCAATTCGTGAAGCTTCTGCAAATGTTAAATACGAATGATCGCTGCGCTAAGGAGAGAACCACAGTTTGAAAAAGAGTCACCCTCAATCCGTGAAACTCTTGCAAATGTGTAATACGAGTGTGCGCGGCGCTAGGGCGAGAGCCATATTTTGAAACGGAATCGCCCTCAATCCATGAAGTCCTTGCAATGTTTAAGATGACCGTGCACGGCGCTACGGCGAGAGACACATGTTGAAAAGGACTCGCCCTCAATCCTTGAAACCCTTGCAAATTTTTAAGACGAGTGCGCGCGGCGCTAAGGCGAGAGCCACATTGAAAGCGACCCGCCCTCCATCTGTGAAGCTGTTGCCAGTTTTTAGGCTTCATAGTCAAACATGGTGAGGAAGTCTCATGCGAAACGCCTGGCCCGCCTTCTAAACTTGCCTCGGGGTGCAACAGGGAGAAGTTATTTATAAAGAAAAGGAATTGAGGATGAGTTCGTTTTGATTCTCCCGTTGTTCGCCCCCGCCCAAGGACCTTTGGCACGATTTGTTGATGAGTTGCGCTACAGCGCGGGGGAGATTTAAAGCGTTGTCGTCATCGTCCGCCAGACGATGCAACTCGCTGATGCAATGGCGCCGCACACATGGATAAGGCTTAAAGACTTGCAAATGCGTCCTGGCGACGTGCAGCTGCATTGGAGGATCGTCCGCGCATCTGGCACTCAGGCCGCAGGCAGGGGGGAGGGACGACGGGCGGGAGGCGGCGACGACGTGGAGGAGGCAGACGAGGCACCCGCCAGCGGCACCGTCGAGGCACGCGGCGCAAGGATCGGAGAGGGGGCTGGCCGAAACCCCGGCGGCGATACGGTGTGTGTGTGTGTGTTAGTGTGTTTGTGTGGTTCCTGCTCCTTGGGCCTCATGGGGGCCTCCCGTCGTGCGCGTGCGTGTGTGTGTGTGTGTTTCGTGCTTCCTGCTCCTCGGGCCTCATGGGGGCATCCCGTCGCGGCGGCGGGACCCGCTGCCCGAGAACGGGCCGGGACGGACCCCGAGGAGGCGTCTCCGGGGGCGGGTTCTCTACGAACGGGTGGGCGCCCTGGCGGGAGGGCCGCTTCTGTTCGGGGGTTGCTAGAGGTACCCCTGGCCCAAGGTGCCCCCAGCTTTTCGCTCCATTTTGGAGGCCTGGGGCCCCCTGGGCCTCGCGAGTGGTGCTCTGGAGGCCGTGGGGGCCTCCTTGGAAATCCTGGGGGCACCTTGGGCCAGGGGCACTTCTAGCAACGTCCGAGCTGTCGCGCATGGTCCTCCCCCTATAGGACCTCGGGGGACGACGGCCGCGAGGAGTCGGACGACGGCGGGCCACTCCTCTGGATGCGAGTCCTCTGTCATCGCTGCCGCCCCCCTCATTTCTCCTCCTCCTTCTTCCCCTGGCTGTTCCTCCCGCTCCTCCCGCTCCAGCTTCTGCTGCTGCTGCTGTTCATCCTCGTCATCCTCCTTCCTCATCCTTGGCTTTTTCACCCTGCTTACCCTCCTGCTGCTCACCCGCCACTTCCTCCCCATCCCTTGTACGCTGCTCCCCCTTTCCGAGTGCGCATAACTCGATGGAGATCCTCCCACAGGAGTTGGACGGCGGCAAGGAATCAGGCGATCGCAAACATGGATCACGGGGGCGTAGATCAGCAACGGGTCCCGTTTCCGTGGGAAATCGCGGATTTCCGGCGCCCAGCGAGGCGGCACCGGCCGCATTTCGGGGAGGGTTTCTCCCCCGATCCATGGATTTGGCGACCGCGCGCCAAATCCATGGATCGCTACTCCTTGTTTGCGCGCCCCCGAAGGGTTGGAGGAGGAGGGACACGAGGGGGACTGGGCAGGAGTCAGGTGTCCGCGAGACGGTCTCAGGGAGAAGGCCTTGCCTGGGACGTGCAGCACTTGCATGCGGGCTGCGACGAAGGGGGGGGAGGTGGATGCTGCCGTGGAGGACGAGGACGAGGACGAGGAGGACGAGGATGGCGAGGAGGAAGACGAGGAGGAAAACGAGGAGGGGGAGAAGGACGAGGACCAACACGACAGTCAAAACGGGGCAGGGCCTTGCATTCCTCGGCATGGTTGCCGCTTTCGTCCTCAACCTCTTCCGCTCTCACGCCCGCTCCCTCTCCCTCCCCAGTCCTGTTGCCCTCCCCCCGACGGGGAAGGGGCTCCGTTCGGCTCAATTACGACTTTGCCCGGTTTCGTTCTGGCTGTTTTGTTCTGGTCGGCGCGCTGAAAGAGGAGGGCCCGCATGCTTCTTGGAGTCTCTTTGGAGCGCTCTCGGGGACCTGTTGGGTCAGTTTTAGGGGCTGTCTTCGGGAGCCCCCTGGGGGCCGCCCGGGGCGGACGGGGCGCACCTCCGACTCGATTCTGCAGGTGCTCAGTTTCGTTCTGGCTGCTTTTTGCTCTGGCCGGCGCGACCAAGGAGGAGGACCGAGGGAAAGGGGGGGAGCGGCTACGGTGACGACGACGACGACGGCGGCGGCGACGACGAGTGAAACGAAACAGCCACGCGCACACGCCGACGGTCGGCGGATGATTGCACCGGCCTTGTGGAGCCACGTTCCGCCCTCTTGCTTTTGTTCTCTTCAGGAGCACATCGTGCAATGGCCGGTGCGCCCAACGCAGGCTCCAGAACGGCGCAGGCCATTGCCAGCTCTGCCAACAGTTCGGCGGCGAAGACTCCATCGAGTATTCCGCCGTGTGCGGCCGTCATTGGCGGGTCGTCGGAGGCAGGATTCAAGTGCTTGCTGATTGGCCGTGCTATGCTAGTTTCTGTTCTTGGGAGTTGGCAGCGTGGACTTGATTTTTCTGACATGTCACGTGCACGCTGTGAAGAGAGCAGGCGACCCGAGTGGTGCGCACCCTGGTGGAGGATACCGCGATCACGTGGAAATGACCGTGTCCCACAACGGTCTTGCCATTCGGTATCGCCGATTGTGTGTATGCGGTGGGACGCAGCATACAAGTATTAGGTTCGGCAATTGACTACAGGCGGTCCATAGGAAAACCTGCCGAAATCTTCAAACAAATCTTCGGCCGGGAACTCAAACTCCAAACAAATACCAAAAAATCTTGAATGGGGAACTCAAAATCCAAGACCACCTGAGAAGATCTCAAATACACAACTTGGGGAACACTCGCACACAGAAGAAACTACTGAAAATCTTGAACCCGAAACCTGGGAACTACTCAAACCCACAGAAAATCTAAAAAAACCTGAAGCTCACACCTGGAAAATAACTCAAACCCAGAAGGTTGTTCTTTTCCAGAGTTGTTTAGAATTGTTTCCAGCGTTTTGTTTTAGAGTTTTGTTTCCAAAGTTGTTTCAGTATTTGTTTAATAGAGTTTTCAAGCATTTAGAGTTTGTTTTATGTTTTGTCAGCTTTTTGTTTACGTTTTCAGTCGTTTAGAGTTTTACCAGAGTTTGTTTTAGAATTGTTTTAGAGCTTTTCCAGAGTTTTAGGTTTTTGTTTAGAGATTGTCTGGAGTTTTTGTTTGGTTTGAGTTTTTTTCCCAGGTTTGAGTTTCAGCTTTTTCACAGTTTTTTGTGGGTTTGAGTTTTTCGCAGGTTTGGTGTTTGAGTTTTTTTCAGGATGTCGACCTCCCCAGGTTTTGGTTTCAAAATTTCCCGATGTTTTTTTCTGGTTTGGGTTATTTGGCCCGAAGTGGTCGTGGACCTCCTGTAGTCGCAATTGCCGGACCTAATACAAGTACCACGAGGCGCCCCGGTTTTATTGTGTTGTTTCTTTTTCTCTTATCGCTCAGGCGCCTCGGACCCACTAGTTTGTAGTATCGACGCCACTCGTCAGTTTGTGGTCGCCAGAACTTCTAGATCGATGTTTGAGGCAACTGCTACTGTCTTGTCGCTGAGGCGC